ACCACGGCCGCCCCGGGCGGCGGCGGCCTATGCCCCTGAGTGATGCCGCGCCCCACAGCAGCAAGTGTCGGTGCCGGTACGACCGGCCCGGACGCCAGCGGTCTAGGACCGAGACCACCGCCACGCCCAGCGGCCGGCAATGACCCAGCAGCCAGCGTAGGCTTCGGACCCGGCGGAGCACCACCACCATGCCCGGCCGGCGCAGTCCCGGCAACCACCGGAGGTTTCTGACCAGGCGGAGCAGCACCACCCCGCCCAGCCATTGCCGCAAGGGGAGGCATGCGAGCCGCGCGTCCGGGACCGCACGCAGCGAAGCCCGGCACCGCACAACGCCGTCTAACCCTAGGAGGCGGCGAGGAAGATTTCTGCGATCGACGCTCGATCGAAACCATGCACGGGCCAGAACTCAGAACAGATGTGGAGTCCGGGTTAGCCTGGTCCTCATACCCAGCTATCCCCGGCCCACCCTATTCGGCACAAGCTGGGCCGAACACCCCTCCGCAGATTGGGCCCCATTCGCCGCATCCGCATCGGGCCCAACAGCACCGAGCAAAAAATTCAAATGTTGGTTCCGCGCTGTGCGGATCTCAGCCGACCGGCCGGCCGCCGGCGCCGGCACCGCCGCCGCTGCCGCCGGCTTTTTCTTCTTCTTTCTCTGGACCATCTTCCAAGCACCCGTTTCGAAAAAATCGGACAGGGAAGGTTTGGGGAGACTCACCTTGGGTAGAGGACCGCGCCAGGGCCAGATCTCCGATGCCGCCGTATGACGATGGACGACGAGGGGAGCGACCCTACGGGAGGCAGGTGATGCTTTCGACACCGTCAACGCGATCGCACGTCCTGCTGTTTGCGCAAGCAGCCGCTCATTGCCCTCCTCCGTCGCCTCCTCATCCCTAGCAAGGCCGTCGCACTGTCCCTCGTCCTCATCGCTATCCGCTAAGACCCAAAAACGTCCTCCAAATCGCTGATCTGAAGTCTTGTTCGTCAAGTCGATCAACTCGATCTCCTCCCTATGATCTTCCTGCAGACAGCAAACTACATGCACGTCGAAATCATCAATACGTAAACGAAGCCCTACCTTGATCTGGACGTCGGTCGCCAGATAGTCGCCGGCCAGGATGTCGTTGTCCATATTCCGAATTGACGTCCACCGCGAAGCCGGAGTGTGCTGCAGGCGCCCCTCGATCCAGCCACTGGAGATCGGATCGTAGAAATTGACTGCCCACTGCTCCGCTTGTGCCCTTGTCCGGATCGCGCCATAGTCGGTGGATCCCCATGGAGATCCGTCTCGACCGACCGCGCCTGTCCCGCCCCCTCTTCCGGCGACGAGAGGTGAGGCGTTGGCGGCTTAGGGATCGCCGGCGGCGTCGACGTGGGCGGCCGCGGGTCGTCGCCCATCGCGTCCTCCTCCAGAGCGACCTCTTTTCGTGGACTTCCAATATATGCTGGCAATAGCATCACGTCAATTTTGACCATCTCCATATATCTTTGCCATGGGAGCTGCTCCCATCGCTCCTGTACAGGCGCGAGCACACACAACGCACACACAACACTCATGCGCGAGCACGCACATTCACCCGTGCCTCGCGGGCACACACATCTGCCCCGAACCTCCTTCTCATCCTATGGATCTGGTTGATTAGCACACATCTATGCGAGTTCTTGGACTGGTAATTCTGTTGATTAGCATGGATGCTCTACTCCTACGTTTCTATCTTTGGTTGAGCTCTTGGGCTGCAAACTTTTCAGATTAGCATGGATCTGTGCGATCTGTCCAAGATCTTGCTAACTTGTGGAAATTGTAGCTCTTAAATTACAACTCTGTGGTTTTTCCAAGATCTTGCAGACATTATTTTATTTCGTTTTGATGATGCAAATGATGTCAATATTTTGTACGCCCATTATTAACTGTGCAGAATTTATATGGATGGATGACAATGGAAGACCCGAGAAACGCTTATCGTGCAAGCTGCTGGTTTGGTTGCTGCATTTATATAGATGGATGATTGTGATTGTCTTAGATTTGAAAATGAGAAGGACAATAAGGCTAGGAGCTGTTGAGGATTTGTGTGGACTTGCACTGTTGGGGATTTGTAGCTCTATCTAATTATACAAGATGATACCTTGCCCGTTGCTGCGGGACTAAATAAGCACATGATGTAAAACTATAAAGTTGAGTCATAGATGTGATCATATATTGGAAACAAATAGAACCATAGACACACTGATGGAGTGCGGTTATGCTAACGGACAACTATGCTAGTTATAAAATTTATTACACCCATATACCGACCGATAAAAAACTATCTATGAGATAATGTAAATGTACATTTATGAAAACACTAAGAAAACAATTTAAATTTTATAAGTTGTTTCCTTGTCGACTACAAAAATGTAAGCTGGCACACATGATTAGTAAAATTAAAAAGCTACATGCAAATTGTAATTTCTGATGTAGTGATGCATATGTTACTTGTGGTCCGTTGAATTGTATCTATGCATACAAAAATTTCATGAAATATTGCACACAAAAATAAGTAGATGCAACTTTATAGTGATCAATAATGACATTTACTATCGCTACAACATCTATGTCGTGAAGGTCTTGTTATAAGAGTTCTCAACGGATTTGATATTATGTTGGATGGTTCTCGGATCTAGAGAAAAGTGAATCAATTCATTATTTGGCTATGGACAATGAACTCTATTTGTTACATGGGATAACATTAGTGGCAGCACATGAGTTGAAACTTCAGAACACAATGTTTGAGTTTCCAAGAAAATGGTAAGCATCACAACAAACTGTTTGCCGCAAAGACAATTACCAAAATTTACAAAATCAGTTCTTTACCAAAAAAATCAATTGGTACAGATATACAAAAGTAAGACAAAATTGTACACTTCGATTGAAAACTACGTCAACATATGCTGATATATAACTCGCAAATCAACACAGATTGTTCATATTTTCCATGTAAAAACTTACAACTTCATAAGAAAAGAGATAGACAATAAACCATATTCCAGTAGATGTCTATTCATTCTATATGCTCTCTAGGATACCATCAGGGCAAACTGTATCTTGCTATGAATCTATGATGCACTCCCATTCCGTGGATCATTTGCTAGGAGCCTAGGACACCACACGCTGTAAAAAGTAGAGGGGATGGTCAGTGATCGACATAGATTAAAAATTTCTACAAGAACAAACAGACCCGCGACCTACTTGGATTGTGATCGAATACCTTATCGACATAGAGTAAAAAACGCAGAAACTAAAGGGACGGAAATGAGATTAAATTCTGTATCGGGGCATGTAAAATTGAGGAGAAAAATCTCTAAACAATCAGGTATCAAGGTCCTCCATCTCAGATAAAATTGTATAATTGAGCCTTGCATCGTCCAAGGCATGCATTCTATAATTGGGCGGGTGCTTAATAAACAGATGCTGTGAGGAAGAGGCTGCATGGAGAACCTGGGACAGAGAGAGGGAAGGTGAAGTCCACAGCTGCAGATGTGTCCCAACTAGCACGCTTTGTACCAACAGTATATGTAAGTCAATAACTGATGCATCGAGAAGGCGAAACCTGGAAAATCTCTAGCAAGGGCGTCAGGCATGTGCTCGTATTTGGGGTGACGATGGGAACGAAGATAAAGCAATCGCATCAGTTACCTGTACATAGGAGGGGTCTACACTGATTTGAAGATGGTATAGGGGAAGGGCGGTGGAGCTAGGCTGCACATGGTACTGGCACAACTCTCGCCATCTGAGTCCATCGGTGGCATGGATGTCGCGGCTCCTCAATGTCAAATCCGGTGGTGGCAGGGGTCTGCAAAGTCAGATGCAACGCCAATCATCGGGACTGAAAAAGAGGTGAATTTATATGTGTGGATTCGTAAGGCCAAGGGATGGTCACGGTAGTGGGAAAGATGCAAATAGGACCAGGGGATAGATTGGTGGGAAGAGTAACAGAATCATGGGAGAAGATTAGCAGGCATCTCGGCTCCTATTAATAGATGGGCTGTTTCCGTCGGTATAGAAGACACTACAGAGATTAAAACCACGGGATTATTTCGTTAGAAAAGATTTTTTTTTGCTGAGGTGGCAGATTTGCTAAGGTGGAAGACTGATTGGCTGCTTTTGGAAACTAAATAATGACCTGGCACATCGCTGATGTGGATATTGTGCATGGTGAGAGAATAGGAAGTAGTGGGGAGCAACTTCTTAAGAATGGTAGATGGTAGATGCGAATTCTAAGATGTACTACATAAATAATTTCTATGCCCTCTTGATGATCCTGCTGCATTTCTTTTGCTTATATGTACCATAAATTGCTCATGTACCCTCTAAGATGTACTTGGAGAGCATGTCACAAAAACAATCTTCCAAACAAATTTTGGGTTCATACAGCCTACCAAACAACTTCTCTTGTGTGCAGCATCTCTCATACAACACTGGATGCAAGATACCAAACAAAATATATGCTGAGCCTGGGCCATATCATGTACTCCCTCCGTTCGGAATTACTTGTTGCCAAAATGGATGTATCTAGATGTATTTTAGTTCTAGATACATCCATTTCCGAGACAAGTAATTCCGAACGGAGGGAGTAGTACACCAAACATACATCTTAATTGCTCTTTGCATCAGCTCAACGAGGCCAACCTAAGCTAAGCTCCCTCATGTGATGCAAGTTGGATGCCCCCAGGGAACCAAACACGCCCATAGTCATTTCAATGTAGCTGTCCTGAAAGGAAAGAAACGAGGTCCTTACTAGAAGACTCTAACATATTAAAGTTCGGTTTCAGTACAAAGATTCCTAAAGAAACTTTATTATTATTCAAATAAAGAAACACGGTAGGTGACAACAAACCACCCATAGATGAATAAAAGGGAAAATAATCAGAAAACCGGTCAGATATCCTTAACCATTTTATTTTAGTTGAAGGAACACTCAACTTAAACCACATATGGATGAAATAAAATCTCTTGAAATTACCTAGGCTACGTAAACACCTATTCCATTCAAGCATGTCATATCAGTATGCCCAAAGAAGCCAACAATTGCTTGACCATTTGGCATCACAGCGCTGAAATTGTGTACTGTACCACCTTGTATATTTTCAGTATTTCCATAAGGTCCGTATGTTCTTTCGTTAGTGGTAAACTTCAGTGTCTGTATAACATTGATATTATTATGTTCGATAACAGTTCCAGACATTGCGGTCACAATTTCTTCAGGGCCCAACACAATCTGCAAAGGAATAAAGGAAATTATTACAAGTCCGTAAACAACCACAAGAGTACAGTACACAATCCATGCATGTAAAGAAAATGATGAAAAATAATCACACCTCTGCGCGATTGGGACTCTTAGTGCCCCAAATATTTGTGTAACGGCTGTTGCCATATTGGTCAAAGTAATTATATTCAAATGAATCAATTCTTTCTTGATAGTGGATGGCGATACTTGCAATCTTGGAGGGTTTTTCCATGCCAACAGCAGAACCCTCCTTGCCACCCCAGGGGCCACTCTTTGTGAGAATGGGTAGCTGCATTTGTACAGATAATGGAGCAACATGTTCAGGACGAATCAACATGCATGTACTAAATAAAACACAAATGCAAATCTGAATATTCTCACCTTCATGCGGCAGAATCCATGGATGTTAAGTTGGATTATGGTACCACCATCTGTTTCCTGATGCCATGTTTTGTGTATAACACCACATGCCATTGCGAGTTCACCTGTCCCACCGGCAATAGCCCACTCACCTTCTTGGGCTACAGATTCTCCCATTACCTGAAGTGTGCTCTTCTTGAACCTGTGTAAAAACTAGTGCACTTAAATATCATCGCTAATATGACAGAATGAGAAGCTAGCTGACCATGTCAAGCCTTGTAGATGCTTGATGATATCTCTGATAAAAATAAATCTGAATCTATTTTAAACTCTAGATGGTGTTCCTCACACAAAATTGTTATTGACAACTTACACAAAACGAGAGAATATATGGCGCGGCGTGCGTTAACATGAAGCAAAAAAATGTACTGGTACCATGTTCGCATACCTTTCAATCTCGAATCGAATGGTGAACGTATTGTGCCAACTACCAGCGTTGATATGCAGCCCTTGTGCACGGCCCACTAGCTTGGCGTCGGTGCCAACCCCATCATATATGGCCCAGTCGTGAACTGATGTCCTGCCCAACTTAGTGGTAGCATCTCCAACTATGATGTTTGCTTGGGTTGGGTTTGATCCACTGAAAATGTGGTGCAGGTACAAGCTACTGAACTTAAACTCAGTGTTTTCCACGGACCCATCGAATGGACTAGCATGGAAGTTGGGGTGAGTTTCCATGGACAAGGATGGAGTACAATGCTAAGTGGAGTAGATCAGTGGGCTTCTACCTACTCGATCTAGACTGAGCTTGTGTGATGTGGAAAATGGATGCTGGCGTGGATGGGTATTTATAGGCCAGTTCAAGTAGATCCATGTATGCAGAGCACTTGTGTACTCGGAATAACTTATACCTTCTTGTGCACCACGCGCATTTTCACGATCAGATGCCTCCCACCTACCAGAGCGCATGGCAGATGACACATGGCTAATTAATGGTTCACATCACATGGCTAATTGACGTACTCTACTTTCAAGGGGAAAACAACGTTGTTAAAGCTAGTGAAAAAACTCGAAAATTCATGAGCTTCCTTAGATGTATGCAGACCTCCGGAGAACCATCCTCCGCCTGCTTCCATTCAAAAACCTGCTGCACCAGGTGCTGTACTTACGTTGGTAACAAACAATTTCAGATAAGCTAAAAGTTAGCTAGAGCCATTAACCACAGGACCGCACGGCCTAGTCAATTTGCGAATACAGAATAAATTAACTAGACAACAGCCCACGCATTAATATTGCTGCTGAAATTGGTTGCAATATATTATTTTGATGAGATTTGATTGTATGGAATTAGAAAATGACACTAAAACAATGAATATATATGATTTATTACTGTAATGTGATTAATATATATGTGTAACATATTTGTAGAATTTAAATAGTATTTCTCACGGATGTTGACCGGAATAATAGTAGTAGGGTTGAAGTGTCCATATTGAGAGAAGGTGTATAATTAGCATTTATCATGCATGTTGCGAGAAAAAAAGTATATGTGTAACATATTTATAGAATTTAAATAGTATTTCTCATGGATGTTGACCGGAATAATAGTAGTAGGGTTGAAATGGGATGTGTCCATATTGAGACAAGTTGTAATTAGCATTTATCATGCATGTCGCGAGAAATAAAAGTAGTAGGATTAACGAGGCAGCATGTGTGTCATATGTGCATGTTGAGATAAGTAGAAAGTAGAAATAGTGGGGATCAACTACTTAAAGTGTCTGCTAGATCATATCATGCACGGTGTCACAGGAGTATTTTGCAAAATATTTCAAAGATAATTAGTTGTATGAAACATGATTATTGTATGTCTATTATATATATCATAATAAAATGGAAATTCACACGGTTGTTTCTTGAGCTAGTTTTTTTTTCTTGTGCGTGGTTGTCTCTTAACGTGGGACTTTTCCTCATGCATGAGGTGGCATGCTTGCCTGTTAAGGGAAATTGGTTAGTGGAGCTAGCTATTTAGATACATAAGGTATGATTATCAATGTTCAGTTAACACAAGGGTCCGGCTAGATGACAGTCGCCTGGAAAAATAATTTGGGTAGTCAGTTTTTCTAAGCTGTTGGATGCGAGATGAATGACCAGATTAGCTTCTTCGATCTTCAGCCCAACCTCCTATTCATCTTCTTCCTCTTGACTGCCTCACGTACCGCTGGACTAACCGCCGGCCTCCACCCCTCCTGCAATCGCCTCGCTGCACCGCCCTTCCCTCAAACTCCTCCACAGTTTGTTTTGCAGCCACACCCGGCCATCCCACTAAGCCCGGCGACCACCCAAAAATCCCGGACGAACCTGCACCCACCACCCTAAGATAGATAGTGGGGTTGCTTCTCCCCTGGCTCCAACGACCTCGTCATCTCCTTCTTCCTCTCACTCGGAGCTTCCTTCTTCCTTCTCAAAACATAATCGACTGACCAAAAAACAAAATTCAATCGACAGCTGACCTTTAGCTATTGTGTTAACACAACTCTATATTAGAAAGTAGTGTTTTATCATGGATGTGACTCATTGTCTAGGTTATGTTTGTATTTTGACATCCGTAGATGTATTTAGCTAGGTGGTTGATAAGCCGGCTTTGGTTGCTTCGTCGGAGATTCTGGTGCGAGGCCTTGTGGTTGGTCCGAGTGTACTGTGTGGGCTCTTACTAGTAGAAAACAGGTCTGACGTTCTAGCCGGATCAGAGCAATAGTCCTGGTCGCGTTACGAACCAGTACTAATGTCAGCATTAGTCCCGGTTCGAGCGGCTAGAACACCGGACGGGGACTAAAGGGCCTTACGAACTGGGACTAATGTCCATTTTTCTACTAGTGTGTGGTCTTTAGGGAGATAGAGCCGCCAGCTTGACTCGTACTCCCTCTGGTTTTTTATTCTGCTTATAAGATTTGTTCATAGTAAAATTTTGTGAATTTTGATCAAATTTATGCTGAAAAATATAAACGTCTACAGTACTGAAGTTATATATTACGAAAACTAATTCCATGATGCATCTAATGACATTAGTTTGGTAATATGAATTTTAATATATTTTCAGTAAGCATGGTCAAACGTTGACTGCAAAGAAATCTTATATATATACAGTAAGGGCATCTCCAATGGCAACCCGCAAATTTTCAAAAGCATCCATCCGCGGACAGGGGGGGCAGTCCGCGGACATGGATGCGGGAGATAGCCATCCAACCATAGCCGCATAAATCCGGCCAACAATTCGAACTAATGGGCAAAATTCTTTCAAACAAGTCTGAATTTCATATAAACAAGTCCGGACATGTAAACATAAGGGATTTCACGTAAATATGACGGATTTCATTACATTTCGTACCTAGTTCTATTCTAAACCTTAACTAAATGATCGTCGGTCCCCGGTCTTATGTCCGTCCATCAGCCCCGAGAAGTGAAGCTTCACCGTCTCCAGTTCCGCCGCGACGCTCTCTAGCTCCGGCTCCAGAGCCCGAAGAAATTATGTTGTCCGCCTCCAAGTCACAGCCAAGCGACTAATTGGACTACGATGCTCAGCCCACCAAACTTGTCATCGACGGGAGGGGAGGAGCGCTCGCCTTCCTAGGACCTGACCTGTTGGCTTCGTGGTTGTGGAGGCGGGGCCCGGCCTCAGCGGAGCCGGCGATGTCCTCCTCCTCCCCACCGGTCTCCCCAAACACCGCCTCGCTCGCGTCGTTCCTCTCCTTGTAGGCTTGCGCCACCTAGTTCACCCACTGGTGGTACCCCAACCAGCAAGGCAGATCTAGCAGGTGGTGCAGTAGGAGTTGAGCAATGCCTCCTGCTCCGCCGGATCCGCGTCTGGCGTGATCGCCCTGCCGCAGCGAGCTACCCCTCCGCCTTCAGATGCTCCTGGAGGAGGTTGTGGTTGTGGTCTCTCAGTTGGCGCGCCGCTTCAATGCCGGTGCTAGTGACCGACCGC